AACAGTGACCTCCTTTAGTTTTACATTGCAAGGCATGATTTCCAGATGACAAACTATTCTTGTAGCTCTTCTCTGAACCTTCCCTAATTTTTCAGCATCTTGTTTATAGTGTGGCTACCAGAACAGGACAGAGTAGTGGTCTCTTCCCTACTGTATATAGAAGTAATACAGCTTCTCTGTTCCTACTCAATATCTTGTTTTATGGAAGTAGATATCCTTAGACACCCCTAGAAGAGCTATTAATAAATACTGCAGGGATTAGAAAGTGAAAACACACTATGTGATTAATTGAAATTATGGTAAGTGAGCAAATTTACAGGCAGCTTCTAATTTATGCCTGTGTCATTTCTATTCATCTTCAAAACCAAAGTTGCCGTGTGCTACAGTACTTCCTGAAAATTATCATGAAACAGCCCAAGTGCACAAGTATGAGTATTTATCACAGTGTTTCTTTAATGGAGTTGTAGCTTTACTAATGCTTCTTGCTTGATATAACACTATTCTTTCCATTTTTTTATTATTTCACTTAAATACCTGTCACTTTATTATATGTGATGATTACAGGGTTCACTCCTCTGTAAGCATATCAGCACTGAAGCCAATTACAGGGGAGGGGGGAGAAGGGGGAAATAAAACCTAGTCTCGCCACAACTTGTGCCTGGAATATTAATGTTTACTAGGGTAACTTCTGTGGTGAGAATCTGGATGCAGGAAGTTCTTCTATAATCTGATCGGTCTGTCTGTAAACAGGTAATATTCCCACCTTGCATTTACTTCCTTGCCTTTATTCACTTAAATATTAAAAGAATTTAAAACATTTTTTCCTTATGGTTTGCTGTTTCAAGGGTTTTCCCTGTAGGGCCTCCTCTGTCCTATTCCCTACTTCCTTATGTCATAGTAAGTTGTTCCAATTACTTTTATGCTCCTAGACTAGAACTGATTGGACATGCCTTTTCTAATCTCTGATGAGTCAGCAAAATCATCTCTGACATCAGGATAATTCTACGCAGTCCGTTTTATGATGTGTCTAAGACATTTATCACTCTGGCATCTGAGCACAAATAGGGATCAACTTTTTCTGCTTTTCCATGTTCCTGACTTCAGTTTTTCCTTTTTACTTTTCTTTTCTCTCTTCCTCTACCTGGGAGGCGATGACTCTTCTTGGAGAGGGGCTTAGATATGTCAGGTTCAGGCCCTCTCAGATCTCCTGTTCCCTCCACCCCTGGGATATTTTCCCTGTACCTTGATCCTGAGAGTATCATCCTGGGTTTTACTGGCTGTATCATATCTGTGGAATGTGGTCCTCTTGGTGGTTTGTGGATGGATAGGCAATCTTTGACTGAGGCTGGTCAAGTCCATTCAGGATCCTGAAGATTGGGAGTAGGAGCTTTAATTCAATCAGAAGGGTCCAAATTGTTACCTCCCTATTTTTCCAATATTAAGTGCAAATATAGTTTTGGGGTTTTTTAAACAAATGTTTGTTTATTGCTGCTTGAAAATAATGACTACAAAATAGCCAGAAGCCTAGTACTCATGTGCAAACCCTACAAAAACAAATCAGCATGAGCTCGTCAGATAGTATGTGATACCTAAATGTGATACCTAAACATATCTCTCAGATGTCCATGGGATTGTTATGAATAGGGAAGACAAAGGAGAAAAGAAACTACTTTGATGTCATTCCTTTAAATAACTGGAAGCTGGAGCCAATAGATTAGAATTAACTCAAAACTGTGTTTGGGTTGAAAGCTCTTTAGAAGCCAGAAATGGCTGCAGCTGCTTTAAAGGGTGGTAGAACAAAGCCATCTAGCAATGAATGGTTTATGTTGAGTTTTAGTAGATGAAGTATAATCACCAAAACAAAATGTGCAGTCAGTAAGATCCAAGAAGCAGGTGGTGCACCTAATCATCTCAACAACTTGGCAACAGCTATCTCAAAAAAAAATCACTGTTTCCTTATCCCTAATATTAGGTAACATAAGGGAGTAGAGTCATTTCAAGCATAAGAAGATATCGTGTCTGTAGTCTCCTGTAAACAGTTGAGAATACAGATTGTCCCTGTGTTAAATTAATGCTTCAGAAATCAATGCCACTTCTCGTGGGAGTGCAGAAGGGTAATTAATGATGGGGGGAGTTGGTTGCAAAGTTCTGAAACTGGCAAATGTTATCAGGGATCTGTGGGCCTGTTGAATTGGTTCCTACCTAACATCAAAGTAAGACTGTTAACTAGAACTAGATGAACAATTTCAAAGTAATTTGGCAAATGTCCTTTTTCCTGTGTTGTTTGTGAACTGGTTTTAGTATTTGCTGTTTACAATAATACATAATTTGTGCAAATAAATTGTCTGTGGATTGTTTGCAAATTGTCCACTTTAAATATTCACAGTTGGATATCTACAATTTCATTTGCCACCTAAATGACGTATAGTTTGTGTTCTCTGATTGGATAACCTAAAATTTATAATCCGAAGGTACCTAAAGAAATCATTGTGGTTTTGATTATCTCAGGTAGAGGGTGGACTGAGGGAAAGAAGCACTACAGGAAGAGAGCAAGAGAGAGCGAAAGCTTTGAATAAGCAAGATTATGAATTTTTGGACATTTAATATTTTTTACTGTGCTCTTTAGCAAAATGTAGAGCATTATATTTAGCTATGCATGTGGACTCCGGATTTGAAAATAGCTAGGTTCCTTCCTGACTGTGGAAGAGAGAAAACTGACAGATTTATTGATGGTCTAGCAGGCTTTACGTTAAATTCTCTTGTGTCATATTCACACCACGTAATTGTGTGTGTGTGTGCACCTGTGTGATCTTACTTGCAATTAAAGTCAATAGAGCAACGCTGATTTAAACCAGTGGAGAATCTGGTCCTCCAGTTTCACCCTGTATTGGCTACCAAATTAAAACACGTTGCAGGGCGTATTTTCAGTTGGTGTAAATTGGTATAGCTGAGGATCTGGCCCTATAGTTTAAATGCATTCATCATGAAGTTCTGTTATTAGGACTGATTTATATATTTTGCACAGGCTGAATATCAGGCTGTGTTTGTATTTCAAAAATTTTGTATAGATTCATAGATTCTAGAGATTCATACATTCTAAGGCCAGAAGGGACCATTGTGATCATCTCGTTTGACCTCCTGTACAGCACATTATGCCATAGAGCTTCCCTAAAATAATTCCTAGAGCATATCTTTTAGCAAAATATCCAATTATGATTTTAAAATTGTCAGTGATGGAGAACCACCATGACACTTATTAACCATTGCAACCATTTACTTACTTTCACTGTTTCACATTCACTATTAAAAATGTATACCTTATTTCCAGCCTCAATTTTTCAAAGTTTCAACTTTGCCATTGGATTGTGTTATACCTTTCTCTGCTAGATTGAAGAGCCCATTTTTAAATATTTGTTCCCCATGTAAATACTTAGACTGTAATCAAGTCACTCCTTAACTTTCTCTTTGTTAAGCAAAATAGATTGAGCTCCTTGAGTTTATCACTATAAGGTAGGTTTTCTAATCCTTTAATCATTCTCGTGGCTCTTCTCTGAACTCTCTCCAGAGGGTTCCAATTTATCAAGGGCTAATGTATCGAAAGATTAGATTCACTCTTTTGGCCACATTGGAAGCTCATGTTCAGCTGATTATCTACCACAACCCCCAAACCTTTTTCAGTCACTGCTTCCCAGGAAAGAGTTCCTCATCATGCAAGTATGGTCTACATTCTTTGCTCCAAGAGGTATACATTAACATTTAGCCATATTAAAATGCATATTGCTTGCTTGCACATAGTTTACCAACAAATCCAGATTGCTCTGAATCAGAGACCTGGCCTCTTCAATATTTACAAGTCTCCCAATTTTTGTGTCATCTGCAAACTTTATCAGTGATGATTTTATGTTTTCTTCCAGGTCATTGACAAAAAATATTAACTAGTGTAGGTCCACAAACTAATCAGTGAGGGAACCCACTGAAACAGACATGCTCGATGACAGTTTCCCACTGTTACATTTTGAGACCTATCAGTTAGCCAGTTTTTAATCCATTTAATGTGTGCCATGTTAAGTTTACAACATTGTAGTTTTTTATCAAAATGTCATGTGGTACTAAGTCAAACCCCTTGCAGAAGTCTAAGCGTATTACAGCAACACTATTAACTTTATCAATCAAACTTGTAATTTCAAGTTAGTTTGACAGGATCTATTTTCCATAAACCCGTATTGATTTGCATTAATTGCATTACCCTTCTTTAGTTTTTATTAATCAAGTCCCATATCAGTCACTCCATTATTTTGCTCGGGACCAATCTCAGGCTGACTGGCCTACAATTACCTAGGCGACCCTGTTCACCCTTTAAAAAATTGGCACAATTTTCTGTCCTTCAGACAACTTTCCTCCAGTCTTCTGGAACTTCTCCAGTGCTCCAAGATTTATTGAATACAGCCTTCATTTCTTGGTCTTTTAATACTTCTAGTTGGAATAAATAATTTTTTAACTGGAAATGGACAAAACTGTCATGGAGCCAAATAATTCCTCTGTGTTATTAGATTTGTCTCAAATTGGCCTGTCCACCATTAAGTAATTGTTTCCTATTACTGTACAGACATCCAGGCTATATTCCATCTGGAACTGCCGATTATTATTTTTTGTTGTTGTGATAACGGCACTTCTAATATAAATGGCTTGTTCCCATAATGTTTGAAACAAGTATTATTATTATTATTATTATTTATTTATTATTTAATATTTATATTACAATAGCACCTAAAGACCTTAACCCCATTTTGCTATGTGCTGTACAAACATAGAATACGTAACTGTCTCTGCCCTAAAGAGCTATTTCATAAAGGATGGAGAAGAAAAGCAGAGATCTCTTCTATGGAAGAGGTTTCAAAAGGGTGAAGGACACCGAACACTGAGACATTGTTTAAGGTCTGGTAGTTAACTTTAGGACATTGCCATGACTGTGATTTTTCCTATGGGTTTTTCCCCTTTAGGATGATTTCCAGCCTGCAGCATCAGAAACCAACTGGGAGTCAGTCACAAGCTCTGTCTCAGTAAGTAGCTTGTTACTATTTTGCCCATGAAAGGATTGGTGGAATGGTTTTCAGCCCGATGTCAATGCATCTGCACAGGGGAACTACTGCTTGAGCTGTAAGCAGGAGATTAAGTGAGACGTGTTCTTCAAACTCGTTCTAGACTGTCAATAATTTTTAGGGAGCGGAGGGTGGAAGGCAAGAAATGTCAGCAGCTATTTTAGCCACGTGGGATGGCCAGTGGATAAATACTTAGCACTTTCAAACTGAATTCTCCCAATAAAAAAATTCCTTTACATTTTGAGATATAAAGTTTCTTGGTCTAAACACATGAGCATATTTTGCAATAATTAGCATTAAAGGTAAGCCGGTAGGAGAATGGATTAACTTTTTTGAATTTTCATTATTGAAGATTTTTTGTAGCAGCAGCAATTAAATTAGATCTTAATTTGACACCTCATTTTGTGTAACTAAATATGACTTTTAAAAAAAGAAACCCCAATTAAAAATCTCCCCACTCCTTCACTTTATTTGATTTATGTCACAGACAAAAAATCAGCTCCTGGTAGCATTTTCAAGCAAAACTTAGGGTATGTCTACACTGCAATTACATACCCATGGATAGCCCATGTTAGCTGACTGAGGTTTGCAGTGCTCTAGCTTTGGTGCTGTTTAATTGCAGTGTAGGCATTTTGGGCTCAGGCTGGAGCCCATGCTCTGAAACCCTCTCCAGCCGCGGATGTTTAATTGCAATGTAAACATACTCTTGGACTCTGGGACCACACCATGTGGGAGAGTAATGCCAGCATCAGACTTGGTAATGGTACAGTCCCTCTGCCATATGTTGCATTGTCCAGTCCCACACTCACAGTGTGTATTCACTTGACAACTCCTTTTATATAACAAGTACAGACGCCCCCCAGGTTACGCAAACCCGAATTAAGCAAATCTTAAGCTTGGAAAATACTGGATGATGATGATGATACTGTTACAATACTTAACCTCCACAGTAAAGTACTTTGAGATCCTTGGATTAAATCTGTTATATGAGTCCTAATTCTGAGTAATAGTATTATCGAGGGCCTGGCTCTATTAGACATACCATGGAGAGGATATTAGGGTGGTATTTGGTAAATCATGTTCTTCTTCTGTGATAACTATTTTTCCTCCTCCTAACATGTTTTGTTTTGTTTTGTTTTGTTTTAAAAAGGTTTGTGCATTTTTATCTGACACAATATGTTGTTTGAAAAAAATGGGAAATTGTCTTTGAAAATGTAAGAGAAAAGCTCCCTCATCAGGTAGCTGTGATCGTGAGATCAAATTACACTGAAAACATTGTCACGGTGATTGCTCTCACCATAGTAAAGTGCCAAAAATGTAAAATAATAATCCACAACCCTTTTCCTATGGAAAGCCCTTCACAAGATTGTTGTTTCTATTTGTTGTATGTGCTTATATGGCCCTTATCACCATAGTATCAGAGCACTTTAGAATTATTATAATTATTTATCATCCCAGCACTCCTGAGAGGTAGGGAAGTATTATCCCCATTTTACAGATGGGGACCTGAGGCTGGGAAGCCTGTGGCTGAGCCCAGGTCTCTTGGTCCAGTTCAGTGCCACAGCTACTAGACACTCATTCCTTCCCCACAGAGCACACCACAGTTAGGGAGTAAGCATCAATAACCTTATTTCATAGCTAGGGAAACTGAGGCAGAGAAGATGAGCTATTTGCCCATGACCACAGAGTCAGGTCGAGACCTCAGGAATGCCTAATTCTTCAGCATAAAGAGGTTCACAGATTCTACTGTGGGTCTTCAGTCAGCATGGTAGGGCAGAACTTTAACCTGTCAATCACTGGCATAGTTATACTCTGCTCCTAGCAAAGAGCCTGGCAGTGATTGACAGGTTTGAGTTCCACCTCCCAAACCTGCAAACACCCTAAAGACCCACTGTAAGATCTTGCAGGAAAAAAATAGATTTGGGTAAGCATATATTCATTTTCCTGTTCCCAGGCTTGAGCTCAAATCACTGAACCACACCTCATGCTTTTCCTCACGAGGCTTAGAGCAGCACCTCCGCCATCTGCCTCTAGCCTAAAGTGCTGGAGCCCATCAATAACCCCAGAATGAGATCTTTCACCCAGCAGAGCCATTATGTCCAGTCCCCAGTCTTGTGGTTCAGTATATAATGATCTGAGTCAACAACAATTGAACTTCTACAAAACTGCATATCCCATTCACAATAATACAGAAAGACTTTATCATCACTAATAGAATAGTAATGAATCATAACGGAGACCAAATGAACTAATGGTCTGGTTTGGATTAGAAAAGAGCTGCCAGTGTGTCTTATGAAACTCACAATATGTTGAATGTTTAAGTAACTAACAAGAAGTGCATGATGTGGTAACTCTGAGCCCCCTCACATTGTACTGTTCTTCTCTGTTTTCTCTCAGTCACAGAAGCCAGATGGCACACGCTTTTCATAAATCTAATATTTGGCTCTTGGCAGGACAAAACAGAGGCAGCTTTGAAGTTACTTTTGGGTCTGTCACATGATGTAGCTGCCAATAGGTTATCTGAGCTACAATAATTCCTCTTCATTGCCTATTGCTCTGAGAAAGTTGAGCTTTTGTGTGTGTGTGAACTGAGTTGAACTCCTTATAAAGTCCTGAGTAGAAATTTTATAACCCAAGAAGGTGTGAATTCCCCTTGCTTTTATTGGTTTGACGTATCCTGCAAATCCACAATCTGACCTCCAAGGCTCTCACAAAATGTAAGAGAATGTATGGCTAAACACATACAAACAGCACGAGTCTCATCTAAATCTCATACATGTGCCTTTCTGAATAGAGCCCCTGACCTTTTTGCATAAAAAGTACTGGCTGCTCCTAGTCTATTAATTCCATTAGCAGTCCATTAATTCCATGAGAGTGTCTATATCTTTGCGGACCAGCCTCTAGAGGACAAGATCATATATACTTGAGTAGGTTTGATGTTCCTCCAGTGGAAGGCATGGGAACAGAAGGCAGTCGATTTGCAATTCTGCTACTTATGCCGCATCTTCACGTCTTTCTCCCTATCCCCCTTTCCTTTGTTCTTTGAAGGGAATTTAGGAACTGTTTTCCTCTTTTGCTATGATTACAAACCAGTCACTAGCCCCACTGATTTCTCTCTATAGTGGGTTCCTAGTGATATTTTAGTGTGTTTCTTGTTTTACCAAAAATGATTATGTAAGCACTGTACATGACGACTGTGATTAGAACACTGAATTTCATATAGCATTGTTTTATGTAGCAGCACTTTATTCAGCTTACTGATGTGAGATATTTATTCTCCTGGGGGTCTGACTCCCATCTCTTCGACAAAGTCTTTATTCCAAGGCACTTAGAAGTCAATAGTGGTTCTTTGCTGCGTGTCTTCCTTTTAATGAGTCATGAATTTTTAGAGCAGTCTGCATTGTGCCTCATTTAACACTGGATTGTAGAAGGGTTATGAAAGTGGGCCCACTGAAACTTATTTGTGATGGGTTCTGTGTTAAAGGCTTAATAATTTCCAGGCCAATACTGTTAAAAAAGGTCCTTTATTTCATATTTATCACAACCCCATTTCATATGTAACACAACCCCATTCTCAACTCCCTGTGTAGTTGTAATAATTAGCAAACTGCAGTCCTCCTTCCATGTCAGCACTGTATTATGATATTTTCATTTTTTTCTTTCTGGTGTCAGATAATCTGGAAGGTCCATATTTGTAGCAAATTATACGCAGTAAAATATCAAGGACTCCAAAGACTATGGCAACATTTGCTGGTGAAGACAAAGGTATATTTAAGTAGACTGGATTTTCAGTAAAACTGAATAGTTTTACTCAGGTTAATAAGCCACTGATTCCAGTGGGACTACTCACCTGAGTAGTGCAACTTGCATCGATTTATAGAAGTATTTGCAGGATCAGGCTAAAATTGACCTTCTGCTGGGGAATTCAAGTGCTATATGTCTCTGTGGGTATGTCTGTGCTGTAATCGTGGAGTGTGATTGAAGCTTGAGTAGACATACCTGAGCTAGCTTGGGTACTAGAGCAGTGAAGCCATGGCAATGCACGCTTCAGCATGGGCTGTACAAGCCCACCTGGAACCATAGGTAATTGCTTGTGTGCCTAGCCTGCACTGAAATGCGCACTACTACGGATTCACTGCTCTGGGACCTGTTCATAGACTGTTCGTAGACTTTAAGGTCAGAAGGGACCATTATGATCATCTAGTCTGACCTCCTGCACAACGCAGGCTACAGAAACTCACCTACCCACTCCTGTATCAAACCTGTGTCTGAGCCATTGAAGTCCTCAAATCATGGTTTAAAGACTTCAAGGTGCAGAGAATCTTCCAGCAAGTGACCCGTGCCCCACGCTGCAGAGGAAGGCGAAAAGCCCCCAGGGCCTCTGCCAATCTGCCCTGGAGGAAAATTCCTTCCCAACCCCAAATATGGCGATCAGCTAAATCCTGAGCATGTGGGCAAGACTCACCAGCCAGACACCCAGGAAAGAATTCTCTGTAGTAACTCATATCCCACCCCATCTAACATCCCATCACAAGCCATTGGGCATATTTACCGGTAATAGTCAAAGACCAGTCTCATAATACCATCCCCTCCATAAGCTTATCAAGCTTAGTCTTGAAGCCAGATATGTCTTTTGCCCCTACTACTCCCCTTGGAAGGCTGTTCCAGAACTTCACTCCTCTGATGGTTAGAAACCTTCGTCTAATTTCAAGTCTAAACTTCCTGATGGCCAGTTTATATCCATTTGTTCTTGTGTCCACATTGGTACTGAGCTTAAATAATTCCTCTCCCTCCCTGGTATTTATCCCTCTGATATATTTAGAGAGAACAATCATATCTCCCTTCAGCCTTCTTTTGGTTAGGCTAAACAAGCCGAGCTCTTTGAGTCTCCTTTCATAAGACAGGTTTTCCGTTCCTTGGATCATCCTAATAGCCCTTCTCTGTACCTATTCCAGTTTGAATTCATCCTTCTTAAACATGGGAGACCAGAACTGCACACAGGAGTCCAGATGAGGTCTCACCAGTGCCTTGTATAACGGTACTAACACCTCCTTATCTCTACTGGAAATACCTCACCTGATACATCCCAAGACCGCATTAGCTTTTTTCACGGCCATATCACATTGGTGGCTCATAGTCATCCTGTGATCAACCAATACTCCGAGGTCCTTCTCCTCTGTTACTTCCAACTGATGCATCCCCAGTTTATAACAATAATTCTTGTTGTTAATCCCTAAATGCATGACCTTGCACTTTTCACTATTAAATTTCATCCTATTACTATTACTCCAGTTTACGAGGTCATCCAGATTTTCCTGTATGATATCCCGGTCCTTCTCTGTATTGGCAATACCTCCCAGCTTTGTGTCATCCGCAAACTTTATTAGCACATTCCCACTTTTTGTGCCAAGGTCAGTAATAAAAAGATTAAATAAGATTGGTCCCAAAACCGATCCTTGAGGAACTCCACTCGTAACCTCCCTCCAGCCTGACAGTTCACCTTTCAGTACGACTCGTTGTAGTCTCCCCTTTAACCAGTTCCTTATCCACCTTTCAATTTTCATATTGATCCCCATCTTTTCCAATTTAGCTAATAATTCCCCATGTGGAACCGTATCGAATGCCTTACTGAAATCCAGGTAAATTAGATCCACTGCATTTCCTTTGTCTAAAAAATCTGTTACCTTCTCAAAGAAGGAGATCAGATTGGATTGGCACGATCTACCTTTTGTAAAACCATGTTGTAATTTGTCCCAATTACCGTTGACCTCAATGTCCTTAACTACTTTCTCCTTCAAAATTTTTTCCAAGACCTTGCATACTACAGATGTCAAACTAACAGGCCTGTAGTTGCCTGGATCACTTTTTTTCCCTTTCTTAAAAATAGGAACTATGTTAGCAATTCTCCAGTCATAAGGTACAACCCCTGAGTTTACAGATTCATTAAAAATTCTTGCTAATGGGCTTGCAATTTCATGTGCCAGTTCCTTTAATATTCTTGGATGAAGATTATCTGGGCCCCCCGATTTAGTCCCATTAAGCTGGTCGAGTTTGGCTTCTACCTCGGATGTGTAATATCTACCTCCATATCCTTATTCCCATTTGTTATCCTACCATTATCCCTAAGCTTCTCATTAGCCTCATTAAAGACTGAGAGGCAAAGTATTTGTTTAGATATTGGGCCATGCCTAGATTATCCTTAACCTCCACTCCATCCTCAGTGTTTAGCGGTCCCACTTCTTCTTTCTTTGTTTTCTTCTTATTTATATGGCTATAGAACCTTTTACTATTGGTTTTAATTCCCTTTGCAAGGTCCAACTCTACGTGGCTTTTGCCCTTTCTCACTTTATCCCTACATGTTCTGATCTCAATAAGGTAGCTTTTCTTGCTGATCACTCCCATCTTCCACTCCTTGTAGGCTTTCTGCTTTTTCTTAATCACCTCTCTGAGATGCTTGCTCATCCAGCTTGGTCTACAACTCTGCCTATGAATTTTTTCCCCTTTCTTGGGATGCAGGCTTCTGATAGTTTCTGCAACTTTGACTTGAAGTAATTCCAGGCCTCCTCCACCTTTAGATCCCCAAGTTCTTCAGTCCAATCCACTTCCCTAACTAATTTCCTTAATTTTTTTAAGTTAGCCCTTTTGAAATCAAAAACCCTAGTCACAGATCTATTTTTGTTTATCCTTCCATTTAGTTTAAACTGAATTAGCTCATGATCACTTGAACCAAGGTTGTCCCCTACAACCATTTCTTCTGTGAGGTCCTCACTACTTACCAAAACCAAATCTAAAATGGCATCCCCTCTTGTTGGTTCAGCAACTACTTGGTGAAGGAATCCATCAGCTATCGCATCTAGGAAAATTGGAGCCCTATTGTTATTACTAGCTTTAATCAGGTATGGCTATTCAAGCTGCAACCATGCCCCATGATTGCAGTATAGACATACCCTATGTGTCTACATGGCTTCAGGTCCAGATTTTGAGGACAGAAGGGATTCTTTTCTTTCATTTTTCTGTCAGTTTCAGTGTTTTAACTGAGAAAATAAAGGTCTGAGTTTTCCTGTATTTATATCCTGTTCTGTTACACATTGTCAGCAGTTGATTTAATATGTCTTAAGAGAATGACATATCTGCAATCAGTTCTTTCTTGAGTATATTTTACACAGAAATTAGGAAATTTGAGGGTAGTTTGGGGGGAAGATGATATTAGGATATTGAATATTTGGGCATTGAAATTAGGACTTTGGAAATTTTGCTATAGTAAAAGTAAAACTCTTCCCTATAAATGCACATTAGTTATTAAAGGTCAATTCTGTCCTTAGAGGTGACTTACTCCAACTGAACTAAATAAATGTGTATGCATCTAAGGCAGTGGTGGGCAACCTGCGTCCTGTGGGCCACATGCGTCCCATCAGGGTAAGCTGATTGCAGGCTGCGAGACATTTTGCGGACGTTGACCATCCGCAGGCACAGCCCCCTGCAGCTCCCAGTGGCCGCGATTCGCCGTTCCCGGCCAATGGGAGCTGCGGTTGCCCACCACTGATCTAAGGCCTTGTCTACATGTGTCATTCAAGAAACCTAAGGCAAATCAGTTGAAGGTGCAAAGTTAATGCACGTTAACTGAAGTGTGTTAACCCCCATGTGGATGCTTTCATTCAGGAGAGAACTAAGGCCACTTTACTCCTGGTGAGTGAGAACATCCACATGGGAGTTTAATGGGCTTTAATTTATGTGCATTGACTTCACACCCTCAGTTGATTTGCCTTAGCTTTCCTGATAATCCCCCACATACACATGGTCTATGGCTAGTATATGTTCCTAAATGCTTAGAAATATTAATCCCTTTTGTATGTGTGTGTTTCAGCCCTTACATTGTGTAGACCCTTACATTACAGTTTTCCAATTTCCTTCAGTATTTTTTTTTCAAATTCTAGTTTATAAACATTTGAAAACCAGAGTTAATTCTTCATTTCAAAGGGCCAAACCTTGAAGTCTTTGCTTAGGCCTTGCTTTGTTAAAGCTCCAAGAAGAGGAAAGATTGTCCATGGTTAGGGTATTAGCCTGAGCCTTGGGTTCAGTTCCTTGCTTTGCTGCAGACTTCCTGTGTGACTTTGGGAGAGTTGCCTTGGTCTCTTTGTGCCTTAATTCCTCATTGAACAGTGGGGATCTACCTCACAGGGGTGCTGTGAGGATAAATACCGTTAAAGCCTGTGAAGCACTCAGATACTATGGTAATGAGTGCCGTATATCTGTAGATACTTCCATGAGATTTTTGTCTACATGCAAACTGAGGAAAGGACCTCACCTTTTAGGTACTGTCTTACTTTGGGGGCAAGAGAAAAGTAGCCCGTGCCACACCCTGTACAGGGGCATAACGTACATGCTGGCTGGTGTGAAGGACGGGATGTAGCTCTGCCTTCTTCCCACCCTTCCTGGCCCCCTTTGGAATGGCTAGCGCTGTCCAGCAGCATTAGAGCTGCTCACTTCTCCATTCACCTGGCAGCACCTGTCCTTGCTTGGAAAGGTGGGCAGTGCTTTTCTCCCTGGTCTCCTGGCACAGCATGCCGAGGCATGATGCCATCTGGCCCAGTGCAAGGAGCTCAAAAGATGGTCGACGGTGATTAATAATACCAGGAGTAAGGTCACTGTGTCAAAAGACAGAATCTCAGTCCAATTTGGGGTCTTGCCTGGATATTCTGTGTGAGTCAGCTATGAGAAAAATCTCTCCGTAACTATTGACACTTGTATTGAGTGGTGCTGTAATTTTTCAAAGTACACTGAGCTGTATGTCACTCTTAGGGGGTATCCTATCCCTCTCCATCAGTGACCGACCCTACCCTCACTGCGGAAGCATTAGACCAGACCATCGCTGGATTTGACACCGTGGAGGAGCTGCTTAAGCACTTTAATCCAGAGTCGTGGCAGGAAGATCTCGAAAATCTGTACACAGACACCGGACATCATTATCGAGGCAGGAGCTACCGTGACAGAAAGTCCAAAGGTAGGAGGAGACACTGTACATGTTCTTAATTCCAGGTGTTTTCTGTACACTTCTCACAAATGCCTTTTGATTGCTTATCAAGTTCAGATTCAGACACCGTTACTCATGCCGGAGTCAATGGGACTAATTGCAGAGCAAGGAATTACCCAGCACAAGTAAGGACAGAAGAATTTGAACCTTAATCATTTTCAGTCTGTTTGATTAAAGTATTTATCATCCACATCAACAGGCTGGCTTCAGCCTGTTAATATTCACAAATGAAAACACAGACACCTGAAATGATGTATGTTAAGGACAGATGGTTTTCAATTTCACTCTAAAGTATTATTTTGCATGTAAGACATAGGATTCCTGAACTCTCACCCACCTTTAAACACCCTGTTTAAGGATTGTTCTGCGTTGAGTGGGAGATAATTACTTCTATCACATTGTACTTAGGGACGCATCTGGCACAAACACCTGTATGTGCAGCTGTTTGGGGTTTTTTTTCGGATGTGAACATCTGACCGATTTCCATTATGTAGACAGGGAACATTATTGTGGTTTAGTATTTTTAACTGTAATTGAACAAAGTGTGCATCTCTGGATTATGTGTCTCTTTTCCCTCCTTTGGTACAATCCATCCATCAAATGCTAAAGTAAAAGAATGTTAAGTTAATGAAACGAACCAATAATATGAGGAAGCACTGAATAGAAGGTCCAGCCATGACCTTGAAGAACTGAGCACAATGCTGCCCACTGAAATTGTACTGTGTGGTGAAGGAGGTATCTTGAGTGTCTAGCTCAGTTCTTCTAAGTGCTCATCGCTGTAAATTTTAACAGCTAATCTAATGAAATGTTTAACTCCGATTATGAATTTTCTTATTACTCTTATCCTACATTACATATTCAATATACATTTATTCTTATACATTTTGCTGAATATTTTTCTTAAATAATTAGCAAATTATGTGTCTGATTCTGCAAGCCCTTCAACCTATGGAATTCCCATTTAATTGCAGTTTGTACAAGGAGAGACAAGTTTTCTCTTTTTTTTTGTTTTTTTTTAGGATCAGCACTGAAAATAATATTTGCAGTTAAACTTCAGCAGCTGAGACCTTAGTACAATTTGATCTGAAACTGGACACATATAGGCCTACATTTTCAAAAGTGACTGGTCATTATGGTTGCCTCAATTTTTGCCTGCCCAACCTTAAAGGGGCCTGATTTTAAGAAAGTGCTTAGCAACTACTATTTGAAAACCAGGCCCCTTTAAGGCACCCCAAAAATTTAAGCAATCAAAACCTCTACACATTTTTGAAAATGTAGGCCACATTTCTTCTGTTTAGTTTGTATTAAATGCTGGGACCAATCTGATCACATTTGGAGGCCAGTGAAACATAATCAGCTATGTGTCTCCTATTCCCAGACTGGAGTCAGCACTAATGGAAACGTACACAAAAGACAAAAAAGGAGCTGATTTGATTTTAATAGAGGCTGACAAGAGACCCTGATCTCTTACTGAATTTTCTATCCAGATTTCACTTGAGTCTCAGATTAAATCTGATCCCCGTGCAAATGTACTGTAGCTAAAGCAATGTGTGCTGTGTTTTATCTATTTTGATCAGATTGGCTCCAAGTACTGATACTGATCCGATCTTTCTGGTTGTCTGCAGGAAATCTGGATTAATTAGGGTTTCTCCATTGAGTACAATGGAATTCAACTCTTTGGCCTAGCAAACTGCTATGAATAAGTAAAGAGTTTGCCAATTTATTTCTTAATTCAGGATGTTTTTGTTAAAGGAATGAGTTGTGGTTTTTTTCTCCTCCTTTCTTCCAACAAAAGGATGGATTCTCTGCTACACTATACATTTCAGTCCAAAATGATTATATTAATTATAAACTTGGTGTGACACTTTCTCAGGGTGCCCAAGACTGGGTCACCATGTTACCCTCCTCTCTCCGCCCCCCAATGAAAGGGAGTCTTTCTTGTAGTAGCCAGATGTCAGCTCCCTAATACTGCCTGCCCTTCAGCCTCTCAAGCACTCTGCTCAGGGGCTCTCCCAGCCCCTGCTTGATCTACTCCAGTCCCTGAACTCCCCAGAAGCATCCCTGTCATGGGGTGAACCACTCACCATCAGACTGGCACCTCTTCCTGATACGCTAGGGATTAGCTTGAGGCCAGTGCCCCCCTGTCCACGGTTTGCACACTGTCACTTTGTCTCTGCTGTCCGCCCACAGCCCCTCTCACAGCTCCAGGACCTGCAACATCCTCTGTGTGGCACAGCCCTCTGGCCATGTCACTATCCATGTTCCTCCCTTCCGGGCGAGGTTAGCTCCTCACTAGTCCTAGGCAGTCTTCCCACTCACTGCCTCAGTGCCTCTTGGCCAGTGGCTGGTAGGGGAACCTGGGCCCGCTCTCTTCTCTGGGTTCCAGCCCAGGCATCCTTAGCTCAGCTATCTGGGCCTTCTCGCTCTGGCCTCACTGCTCTATTCCTGGACTTCTTCCTACCTCTGGTTCCCCTTCTCTTCCTGGGCCTACCAGTTCCCAAAGCCTCTTCCCAGGAAGTCACTGCAGTCTGCACTCTCTCCTCCCTTTCTCCTGGGAGCGTCTGCTGTCTCCCTGCAGCCCATTCTCCTTTCATCTGCTGGGCTTTATAGGCCCCACCTATTTCTGCCCAACTGGGCCTCCTTAACCAGCTGCCTAATGAGTTAATTGGCCCATCTGGCCTGCATTAAACCCTGCAGGGTAAGTGTGGGATAGTCACCCCCTATAGTATCTAGCCCCTGTCACTAGACACTCACAGAAATTGCCAGGTAAGCTGTCCCCAAAGAGACAGTATATGCAGCTTGACTGGTACAACTCAGGATCAGGTTATTCATAACAACACAGCACTATAATCTATTTATAGCAAAAACAAAAATAAGGTTATTAATAAAGGTTGAGATTTAAGAGAGTGAGTAAGGATAAGAAGTGGAAACAGAACTGGTTACACATATAAAATAAAACATAAAATCCAATCTTAGGTCTACACTTATTAATATTCCTATTTTATAAAGTAGATTTTCGCCCAAGGATTCAGTCTTTGACAGAGCTGCTGGTTTTCAGTCAAAATCAGGATCCAAGTTTTCATGAATATCCCCATGCTTTACAAGGGTTTTCCTCAGTAAATGGATGACAAATTTCTTTTTGTTTCTCCTTATATTTTCCAAAAATCATTGTTTTGACACCCAAAGGATGACCCCTAAGGTGCTGGTTCCCCTACTCCTGTGTTTCCGTATACAAACAGACTTCCATTGTGTTGACTTACTACAATGCTTAATTTGCATGTTACAGAGAGATATACGTATCATCTCCTGTGTGGAAGAAATCTGTTTGTCTGGTTAAGTTTTAACATACAAGTTTAATGCATTTAATACTTATACACAGCTTCCTAAATTTCATCTGTATGTACATCTCGCAAAGATTATGATGATCAATGTGATATAAGCTTTTAATAGATCCCTTACGCCATTGGTTTTTTTTGTTTTGTTTTGTTTTTATAAATACCGTGAAAGCAGCATGTTGGGGTGTAATGAGTTTGTCCGGCGTGATCAGCGTTGCTGTTACAGAACAGTGAACTCTTTTGCCAGTTTGCATTGAGGGGTTCTTAGGGTCACACCAGGGCTAATAAGAAATGCTCATACTTGAAATGTGACAGGAATACAGCCACGTTACATGTTGAAATCCGATTAGAGAATGGCTTCAAATAAAATCCTTTAAATTAGGAATACATTAGGGCTTCCAAACAAAGGCTCTGTGGAACACTAAGGAATATTTATAGGCATTGTAGTAACCTTGCAGCTGAAAGAACAATAGATTATATCACCATTTACATGCTTTCTCGGCTTCCAGGTTGAGTTTTGTCCTTTGTTCTTGTTTAAAACTGCCCTGAGGCAGATTAGCACAATTTGATATAATCCCTGTGTATCTCTCACAGCATTTTCAGAACATGTCACGTAAATTATATAAATAAATTGCTAATGACTTCACTGTTATCCTACCCCCTGTGCATACCAAATGGTTCCAGGGAATTGAGTTCAGTGCAGTGTTGCTAGATTTTCAGTCCTAATAACATGACCCACATGGTAAACGACACTTTAAATATAATATTTTTAGAGTTGGCAATCAATACAGATTGAAAGAAGTACAATACAGAGAAGAACTAATACAAATACTGCAATTCCTGCAATGACCTTTTAAAGGTTGGGACTACCCTGATTAAATTTATATATCTGACAAATGCAATCCATACACAAAATCTAATCTCACAGCACTCTTTATTTATTTATACTGTTTATGTGAGATATCGGTATCAGGTGTATATCTCTAAAAATTGCATTCATTGTTTGAAATTTCATGCTGTGTATATGTACTGCCGTTTATAGTTCACTACTCATACAGAAGTTTATTACATAATCTCAATGAAATCAAATCCTGGGGAAATATTATAGGTATAGTATTTGCATTTTCAAAATCCATAAGTCATGCCCCAGGTAAAAATTCTATACAAATATCATGGCACTTCCTCTGCAAAGAAATATAACAAGTAAATATTAGAAACAATCTTTGCTGTGATTTTCAAAAAAAGGTGAAAGGTTTAATTGTCAGATCTATATCTTAGAACAGGAAACTTGAAGCATATGAATATCCAGCCTTAAAGTTACCCTAAGTGATTATGAAGAGATGGTTGTACCATATAGAGTAGATCAGTAGCAAAATAATTTTCTGTATATTTGCAATAATATTTTACGGTTGGCCTCAATGTCATAATAATTTGGCCATTTTTAATAGACAGGTTCCTAGAATGGGTATCACAACTGTCACATTATTTCATAATTACTTTAGTACTGTAGTAGTGGATGTAAAAAGAGAAGTGCCATCCTGTGCAAAGGAGGGGGTACTTCTAGGGTATGTCTACACCCAGCCGCTAGTTCGGTGGCTGGGAATCGAAGTTCTGGGTTCGACTTATCGCGTCTTG